GCCTACGTCGTTGCCACGCCCTATTGGACTGCTCGCGCCCGCCCTCGTTGGGCCGCGCTTTGTCTCATGTTGGGCCGACGGTGGCATCTTGGCGCTGGGCAGCGCTCATCGGTCCCTTGTGACCGCACGCCCGCACTGGGCGGCCTAGTGCCCGATCTCGCTGGGCGTGCAGTGGTTCACTGGGCCGAACCAAGTCAGTCGCAGCCCTTTTAGTTTTCTAAAAGTATTTGTTAATTTAGTCCCAAAAATAGACTTATAAAAATTATAGTAAATCATAAAAATGCCAAACCAATTTGGTTGAGTTCCTAAAATCGTGATCCATCTAATAGTATATTTTGTTCACATAGTTTGATGATATTCTTAGGAGCTATATAATTAATTTAGGATACTTAATATGATAAAAATATAAACTTATATGAATTGTTGTGATAAATCGGTGATAGTGTTGAATCTGGAATTTTTATAGTAGGCCTTAGCAATATTAGGTACTCGTGGTAATTTTTGTAGCTCCAGAATAATCAGTTTGCTAGGTAGTTAATAATACTCTATCTCGAATAATGGTTAAATCGATAGAACGAAATAAAGAAACACCTTGGGTTTATATAACTAAAATAATCGTTGGGAAATTAACATCTTATTCGACAACATGGATATATAGATTAAGTACGATCGTCGTTAGAGCTATCTCGTTAGCTTGTGAGGCATGATCGGATTTCTAAGCATTTCAGCTATCGTTGATAATTTACATCTATGCATTTGCATTAATGCATATCATATAGGTACGATGATGGATTAACGGATCAATTGAAGGATGATTGGGAATTCGAAGATGGTGTAATGGTATTCTCTCTAGGAGATGATGTAATGGGCTTTCTATCCAGATGATGGTGTAGGATTTGAAGATGTAGATACTAACTTTTTAATATATATCTTACCCAGGCAAGCACCGGTGCATAACCCCTACTTTTCTACAGTTTAAATTATATTTGTGCATTAAGTTTTAAGGAGTTGAATGAAACCCACTTGCATATATATCTTTATCCTATGAGTCTTACTAGCATGACAGGATCGTGTAGAATGCTATGCTACAGGACTCTGGTAGAAGTGAGTGATTGCCTATCACTCACGAGAGATAGGAAATATATTACTGTATTATTATCACTTGGAAAATATAAATGGTGGAAAGGAAAATGGTGACCGGGCAGGGATATGGTTTGGGTATTGGTGGGTGTAAGAGGTTGTGTTGCCATAGATGCGGGGTATAGCTTTGTTACACTACTTTCTCCTGTTTGGTCGGTTAAGGACCGATCGTTGCATAAGCAATCGAGGCAAGTCACAGACTTATTATCCCGAGTACATACTTTGGTATGGGTGCTTGGAAGACTTATCGCTCTCTCGTTATGGATCCGGCTCTTTCCGGATCGACTGTCATGGTTTTATTTTGGTGGAGGAGGTCCTTGCACCGCACTGAGTCTGGGACTCAAGGGCAGGGGCTTGGAGTCCCAGTTTGAACGGGGACCAGGACACCCGAGATAGGAGAGTGATGGGTTGGTCCTGCTTGTGCCTTGGGTACAATCGGGGCATGTGTTTTTGGGTACCCAGCTAGGGGCATTGATTCTCGAATCGCCGGGCAATCCAGTATGGCTTGTTTCGTGCCTAGCACCGTAGTAAGAACTGAAGATGAAAGATGGAAGATGGAAAAAGAAAATCTGATTGCTTACCACCTGCTTGAAAGTAGCACATGTGCTTACATAGAATGGTTAGTTAATGAACCAATGCGGCTATTAATAAAAATCGAATAGAAGGATGCATGCTTAGTAATGCTTCCTGCAAATGCAATAAACTCACAAGCCAGATAGCCTTGTATATCTTTGGAATCTTTTCTTTTCTCCTGTCGGGTAAGTCTTGCTGAGTACAATTGAGTACTCAGAGTTTTATTCCCCCTGTTGGAGGTGACAGGTGGATGCTAAGGCTGACCATTATGTGTGGATACCTCCTGGTGGGCTCAACGAGGATTTCCTTACGCTACGATCGTAGTTTTTATTTGTAACTCTTACTAAATGTTTTTATAAAAGAAAGTTTTATAATATGTCGTCCTAGTTATTTACCAATGCTTCATCATGTCATAAATAGATGTTTAATTCCGCTGTAACTCTGTTCACATGCTTATATATTCGCTGTTCACTTAAATTGTTCATAAACTCTGATAAGATGATTACATTATGCTGTTATACAATAACTATTATACTCTGATGTTGTATTAAAAGTGATGTAAGAAATGGTTAAGAATAATGTAAGCTTTATTCTCTCATTTGTGATCCTGATGCCAAAAATGTGGATTTTCGGGTTCTCCCCTGGGGTGTGTCCAACGAAACCGAGTAATTTAGTGTTCTTCCTTGGGTGCTTAGTGTCTAATGGAAGGCGAGCACTCTTGGAAGGTATTAGGTTAGGCGGTTCTGCCACAGGTGGTGGAGTCCAAGCCATCAAGGCCGCTCCCCACCTCCACCAGCTCGTCGTAGCAGCCGACGAGACCGAGTGTGTTGCTCCTGTCCTCCTCGCAGAGCAGCGTGGAAGCACCGAGACAGACGATTCCCATCCTCAATCAATCAAAATCGTAGCAAACAGCGGCCTCCTACTACTAAAGTAGTAGAAGAACTAGTAGTGCTACTTGGTACTAGAAGAACTCATCTCCTTGGGTACTGATGTGAAGTAGAGGAGGAGAGGCAGACCGGAGGGGAAGGGATGGAGCAGGGCAGAGCACGGCGACGGCGGCAGCCTCGACGCTCGGCTCCGGCGGTGCTTCGACCCGGCGGCTTTGGGCGGAGCTAGCCTGGCAGCAGCGGGCGACGGGCCGACTATGGTTTCGTCTCTAGCAAGCCAAGACGGAGGTCCGGTGCGGGCGCCTATGGCTAGAGCGAGTGCATCTCCAAAAGCAAAGCACGACGGCGGACGGCGTCGGCGGCGCTCGCCCGTTTGGCGAAAGATGCTGCCATGAGCTTGAGCTCGAGTTCCCGACGGCGGCGGTGGCCCAAGGCTCTGCCGGCTCGGCTTTGTCTTCTTGTGGCGAAGGCGGCGGACCGAGGTGGTGCTCCGGCGGCGTCGTGTGTGTGCCGAGAGGGAAGGGAAGCTCGGCCATTCCTTGCTTCCGTGGGCGAGCTCCACCGTTGAAGATTTGCGTAGCGACGAGAGAGGCGACGCTTTTTTGCGTTTCCTTCGGCCTGGTACCCAGAATGCGTCTTGTGGTTGGGTCATCTGTTGGAGCCGGTATCTGATAGGCAAATCACTGTGCACGATTTATTTTTGTTTGAGTAGCTCTGTTGGAGTCCGTCTTAGGGGCTTTTTATTTTAGGTCCCATTTAGTCCTTCCAAAACTTTACGTCCTATCACATTGTCGGATGTTTGACATATACATAGAGTATTAAATATAGACTAAAAAATTAACTAATTACACAAATTATGACTAATTTGATGAATTTTTTAAACCTAATTAGTTCATAATGTTACAGTGGAGTGTCGCAGTAATATATGCTAATGACGGATTAATTAGTCAATAAGTTCGTCTCGCGGTCTACTGGCGAGTTCTGTAATTTGTTTTTTTATTAGCGAACACCTCATACGACATTCTATGTGACAACTGATATGACACCCCTAAACTTTACACCCATGGAACTAAACACCCCCTTGTCTACTAGTAAAGTTGTCTATGCCTTGTAATGGGAGAAAAAACGCCCTGTTCGCTTGGCTTATGAGCCGTACTTTTCAGCCAACGAACAATATTTTTCTCTCATAATAAATCAGCCAATAATACTTTCAGCTATGACTTATCAGCCAAACGAATCGGGCAAAAATCTATAAAATATTTGCGAAAACAAGGATCGAAATGATACATATCTATTTATCTTTTGCTCTTTCCATAAAATTTCGAAGCTAATTTTTTATTATAATATAACATCCATAGTACTCACTCACTCCGTCTATAAAAATATATAATCCTGTAATTTTGAATCTTGTCCTTAAATTCATGTGAATCTAGGATGGAGATCTGCTTTAGGTGGGACCCACTAATTAAAAAACAGACTCCGTACATGCAATTGGAAAGTGAGGCCACCCGTCCTACCACACGACCATCGTCCATAGGGATGAAAACGGTCGGAAAAATGTCTTAACCATTTCTGCTCTTGTATTTTTTTTTTTTTTCGGGAACGGAAATGAAAACGGGAAGGCCGGACGGGAAAATGAAACCGGTATTATGGAATATCGGGAACGGAATATTTCAAACAGGAACGTCTCGACTACGATCGGGAAGCGGTAACATAAAACGGGAACATCAATATATATAACCACTTAAAACAATGAACTCGATGCAACAATAGCAACCATATGCAACAGCAAGCTAACTGGAAAAAAAAATAGTTCACAATTCACAGTAAGCCAACAGGCAACAGTTCAAATTAAAAAAAAAATAGTGCATGTGAACAGGCAAGCCAACGGGCAACAGCAAGCGGCCACAAGCCCACAACCAGTCAACCACAAGTCTCCAGCCAGCAGCCACAAGCCCACAACCAGTCAACCACAAGGCTCCATCCAGCAGCCACAAGCCCACAACAGGCAAGACAACAGGCTGCATCAATCAGTGATTCAGACATTCAATGGGCCGACACAGGAATACAGGAATATAGTTGGGAATTTTCCTATCTAAATACGAGAACCGTGAATACGAGAACCGTTCGTTTGAATACAAAACTAATCCTGCCAGAAATACTACAGTAATTTATAGAAAAACTGTCACCCGTATTAACTGATTTTGATTCCATTCCGTTCATGTCTAAAATACGGTGTCGTTTTTTTTTTCTGTTTTTTCTATAAAAACAAAAACGATATGCGATCGATTAATGCGGTATAAAGTGTCGATCGGTACGGGGAATTTCCCGTCCCGTTTTCATCCGTAATCATGCGCTCGCTCCACCCCTACCGCTCCTCTAATCCAGATCCAAACATCCATGACCCCAGGCTCCTCCCCATTCGGGCTCTTGCCCTTGCTTGTCTGCATCTCCTTCCCCATCCCGCTCTCTTCCCCGCTCGTGCCTGGTGGCGGTAGGCCCACAACCCGTTGCTGCAAGATGCGCCGCCGCATTAGTTGGATGAAGGGAGGCGCGAAGCTGTGCAACGGTGCCGATGGTCGGAAGCTGAACCGCGGCGACGACAGACGCCCGCCCCCGCAAGATCCGGCGTGCGGACGCCCGTCCCTGCAAGATCCGGCGTGCGGACGCCCGTCCCTGCAAGATCTAGGTGGACGCGAACAAGGCTACGAGCCTGCAAGTGGCCAAGGCCGGTTCTGCGGCGACCGAGTTGGCCACGGACGCGGCTGCGAATGGCGTGCAGCTGGCATCTGAGGGGTCCTTGCCAACATGGATCCACTCTTCCACGACGAATTTGTCAGCACGTACAAGATCCTGGTACCTATCTTCTTCAAACCGTAGTGTACCTCTTGTTGGTTTATGTATGCTGATGAAATGCTTTTGATGTCGGATAGTGCTTTTGATATGGCATCGTGCAGCGTGCACCCACGTGCCATGTGAACTAATGATTTTAGGTGCGATGTGAACTAATGACGTTGTTAGGTTGGATGTTTTGACAAAATGATGTGTGCTTTTGATTTCGACAAGCAGAAATATGTGTAGTAGTGCTAATTCACTTGTCGTAGATATAATGGGTAACATGCAGTTTACTTCAACATCAAGAGACTGAGATTTTCATAGCAATGAAATGACGGCTTCCTTTCGCTCATGGACTATATGGAATAAAGTAGCTGCAACTATTGACAGATTACTGCAATGTAACATCTCTTGTAATGTGAGGAAAACATTTCTCAGATCATTTACATCATAATTCTGAAATTCGTTCTCGACTTTTGCAATCAATTCATCCAAATTTTAGAGGTTATTGTATCTGTCTTCGACTGAAGAGAAGCAAAAAATCCTAGATCTAAGACATTCATATCAGGGGAATTAGGAGGTTGGTTGATGAGGCTGATGTCAAACCCAGTTTGGGCTGCTGCTCTTGCAAAGTCTTCGTCATCAACCGGGACATGAGTTCTCCTTGCATTATCCTGTTGAATATAAATCGTTCTCCTTGCATTTTCTCGAGGCCATCGAGTTTTGATGGCCCGTAGGACTTTACTAATCAGGTACGATCTTATAGTATCCCTATAAACCGTCATGGTCTTGGTGATGAGTGTCCCCTTTGGTTTGTTACCACTTCTCCTTTTAGCGGGTTCCTGCGCATAGTGGCACACAAGTTACCTTTGCGAACACATAACATAAACTAATTCATATGAAGCATGTAGGTTTGGCTACCTTTCTTATAAAAGGCCAGATGCCTATCTTGCCATCGAATGTGCAAATACCTTCATCGTCGTACTGAGGCTTAGCACTGCAGTTAAGAACATCACCTTTCCAATGCCATTCTTGTCGCGGACAGTCCTGTGTGGCTCGTCCTCGTCTGGATGCAAGTAATAGGTCATATCCTTTTTTGTGGCGTTGTACCACTTCTCATCCAGGTGGATGATGTTGTCCATTTCAATAAACTTTGGTTCAATATGCAATGTACTTCTATCTAGCATTGAAACACACCACCGCAATCTTTCCTTTTTGTTCGCTTCTGTTAAATATGGCTTGATTGTGTTAGAGTGTCGTCTTACGAGTCCTTGTTTGAACAGCCTATGTAATGTGCTTTTGTTTAAACCTAGAGCTTGAGCTAGAGATCTTATAGTTGACCTTCTGCGCAGTGGAATTGTTGGACCTTGTGATAGGTCAACTTTAACCTTTTTCCGGCCAGAATTCTTGGGCTTCCTAGAACCGATATCAACTGGTTTTCCAATATCACGGCATTGCTTTGCACGCTTCCAAATCCGCCACACATCGCTGATCGATGGACATTGAACAATTCAGCAACCTTATTTGTACTGTTTTTCCTTAGTTTACCGTTGACACTTCTCTCAAGCAAAGCTTCATATATTTGTTGTCTTTGTGTTGGAGTAAGATCTTTTGACCTGGTGCGAACATTTGCAGCTGCATGTCCATCTTCGGTGGTTGAGCCATCCGTGGCCTGTTGGTTGAAGACACTGTCCACTTCGTCCATGTAAACGCCATACATTTGCATGTCCTCCTCCATGGCCTCAAAGAAGGAATCATTGACTACAAAGTAAATCCCAAGGTCAGTGAATCAAATTCTGTATGCATAATTATGAAAAGCATAGAATAATAGCATAGGTTAGTGATCATACTGTCTTGCATTTCTTCATATTGGGCAGAAGCTTGTAAATTGAGATCAAAATAATTTTGTTCTGTAGGAACAGCAAATGTGACATCTCCATCTGCTTGGCAGTCATCATCAGTAGGTGGCACATTGAGGTCTAGTATGGCCTGCGCTCCCACATTTGGTTGATGATCTTCATCATCAGCATGTAAGGAAGCAAGGTCAGCACAGTTGCATATGTCAAATTTGATTCTTGCACTCATACTACTTGCAGAGATGTAGTTATGAAACATCTTACCTGAATTATTCCCTTGTTGCCCTCCCTCCTGCAAGCTGGTTTTGCTGTGCTTCATGAATTTGTATGGGTTCTTCCGCATTTCGTGGTTCCTCATTCAAGTCTGGTAAGGCACCATGGATTTGGAAGGCTTCTTTATCTGGCGGCTCATTGAGGTCTGGTAAGGCCTCTCCTTGATCTGGTGGTTGTGTGTTCAGATCAAAACCCATAGTCTGGCACTCTAAAGGAAGATGAGAAGAATGTACAGCGAGGAGGAAGTGGCAGCAGAGGGGAGGCACGATGAGGAAATGGAAGCAACAACTAGCGTAACATGTGTTCTCCTGTGTAAGCTGTTTATATAGGCTGTCAAATTGGTGGCAAAATGAAATTTGTAATGTGGTCAGTATTACTCCTTCCAAAACGGTGTGCCTGTGTGCCTTTTTTGCCTCCATGTATTTAATAAATGTACTTGTATGGCTGGTATTGCTCCACCACCGTAAGTGTTGAACTCTGCACTTCAGTGAACATTCTGGATTTGATCGTTTGCTTTGAGTTCTGGCGCTTGTAGAGAAGGATAAGTAGGGTTACATGTGTAATTTTACTCTTTCACTAGTTTGGTCTACAAAACCGATTTACATGTTTTTAGGGACGGAGGGAGTAATTATTCTACACCTAAAGTGTAGAATAGTGCCTGTATACAATAACTATGACTCAACCAGAACGCCCCGTCAGACTCTGCAGTCAGCCTCAACGACTGCTGAGTGCAGTCGATCGATTCTCTTACCGTCCGCTGCCATCCAAGCGCCCTGCTTGCACCAGACTTCAACACCTGCTGCACCCCTCCACAAAGCCCAACAGCAGCACGGCCCACCAGCTCCAGAAAGCTGCGACGCGCATCCTCAACCTCAAGGACGCTGCAAGGTGCAACCGGTCCTAGCGCCGCCGGTTGCCGGTCTTTGGTCTTAGATCCACGGGAGCGAGGAGATACAACACGGCAAGGTCGCCAAGTGGCGATGGCAAGCTCTGGCACCTCTCGGAGGGGGGCGTTGGGCTCCTCTCAGAGGGGGCGTTGTGGCTGCTACACGGCAGAGGCGACGATTTGCTGCACGGCAAGAGAGACGACAGCCTGTGCTGCGAGAGATGCATTTGGAACAGATCGATTGTATGGCTGAATCAGATTTGTGATGACTAAACTGAAAGATACAATAGTACTGTAACACCCTCGGTGTTACACCGTAAATCATCTACTAAAACATGTTATGAACATTATATTTGTGTGTTAATGCATGTGGTGAAGTGAGTAGATAATGCATTGCAACTAAAACGATCAACAAAAATGCGAAACGAAAGTTACTCCACGATTTGTACAGTTAACAAGTAGGGGTGTAAACTAATTTTTATTGAACAAAAATGCTATAGAACATGTATGTGACACTTAAATAAAGTTTGAAATGTGAAATTTGTAGATGACAATGAAATATTTGGTATTGAAAAAGAATATTGCTAAGTAATATTTTCAGTAGCTTAGAAATGCAATATGAAATTAAGATTAGCTCAAACACTTAAAAAATTTCTAAGCTTCTGAACAGCTAGACGCTGCTATGTTTAGCAATTTATTTGGAGATATTGGGTTAAGGAGTGGTGCAGTGCTATGATTCGATTTAGTAGTTCCATATGCCATCTTGAGTGTAGTGAAGCCGGTTTAGGTTTAGCAGCAACGGTTTGATCGTGATCAGCGCTTTAAAATTCGTGCACGTCACAGCTTTGTGATGTCCGGACGCTGTGTGCGTGGTCACCACGCGTGGCCGACCCGCGTCGCTGCATTGTTGTGCCGTCTTCTTGCTGCTGTGTGGGTTGTGCAAGACCGGTTGGCCCGTGGCGCGTGGGTTTGGTCTTGTCGCGGCTTGGTTGCACCGCTTAGGGCCGCCGGTCCGCTCTCTACCGACCGCCTTTTACCACCACGTGCCGCCGCTAGTAGTCTTGCTGCTGCCGCCTCCGCGCTTACAGCTGACGACAGCGTCGCTGCCGCCACCATCGCATCACCATCTGCTGCGCGCCGCCATCGGCTGCTGCTGCGCCATTGCCCGCTTTGATCTTTCTTGCGCATGACGTGGCGTGTCGCCGTCGCTTTGCCATTGATGGCACTACGGCGCGCGGGCCACGCCGGTCGCGAGCGTGCGTGTCTGTCAGCTAGTGCCTGGCTGCAGGCTGCGCTGGTCACGCCAACCGCGTCCCGCCAAGGCACGCCCTTGTCGAGTCGCTGGCTGCCCCTCCCCCACCGCTCCCTCGCTCTCTCTCTCTCTCTGTTCTCATCTCCCTATCGCTGTCGAATCGCACCGGCGTCGCAGCTGCGAGGGGTCACCTCTCAGCAATCCCTCTTGTCCGCGCCTCCGCCCTCACGTCCCCTTTCTAGCCGCCCCCATCCCGCTTTGATTGTGGCTCAGCCGAGCCTCAATTTTGGAGCTCCGCCCAGCCACCACGCCGTTAAGACCTATCACCGCTCGTGCCATGGCCAGTCTCCACCACTTCACCCCGCGCAAAATTCTCTGCACTACTAGCTCGCATTGGCTCCCTCTCCACTGTGCGCACGCCAGTGGGAGCGCTACCGTCTCCCCGCCGCCGTTGATGCGGTCGTGTCCGCCGCGGCTCATCGTGCGTGCTCATCGCGCGCACGTGGCCAGCCCTGCTCAGGTAGTCGCCGGCCGAACCATCACTTTGGCACTAGTGCTTATCCCCTATCTCTACCGCCCTATTAGCGCTGTAGCTCGCCGAGATGACCATGGCGCCATCATGGGCGACCGCGCATGGTGGCAGCTCACTCTAGTGCGCCTCGTTGCTCCGTATCGCCGCTTAGGGTAGGCGTTAAGGTCGTAGATGGGGTTCGGCTCGTTAGTTGGGTCAGTGCGAGCCTCGAGTGGCCGGCGTACCGCCTAGTGCCACCGCCCACCGCGCCGACGAGCGCGGGGCGTCTCAAGGACCTCTTTGATATGAAGGTGAAAAGATACGAGGGTTCCGTTGCAAAGTCGTTGTCTATAGAAATAGTACGTGTAGTGTTCGCGCTATTGTCTGGTAACGCGAGGGCGTTTTTGTAAGAGTGCCAGCGCGGGCGGGGGCTCCCCGCCGCGGGCCGCCTCCGCACGTGGGCCGCGCCCCGCATGGGCCGCGTTGGGCCGAAATCGGTTTATCTTTTTCGTGGAAAATAGAAATAGCTTTTCATTTTAATTCTGAGCTAAACTTTAGTAATTAATATAAAATAATATAGATATCCAAAAATTGTGAAACTAATTTTGGTAAGTTCCTAAAAACATTGTCTACCTGGTAGTATAGTTAGTTCATACATATCTGTGTGGTTGCTAAGGAGCATTAAAATAGTTAAAATGCTTAGTATTATTTTAATTAATAATGCCAAAGGGTGCCTAGCTCAATCGGTTAGGCTTCCCGGCGGCACTCCTCAGGTCCTGAGTTCAACTCCCCATGGGAGCAAATTTCAGGCTGAGGTTAAAAAAATCCCCTCGCCCGTCACATGTGCCAAAGCGCTGTAATGGTCCGGCCTAGGGTCTGGTCCGGCCTGTGGATCCGTGTGTGTGCGCCTTGAGTGCCGCACGGCCTAGGTCTGGCAGACGCCTTCTCACTGGCCAAGGATACCGCTGCGTCAGGATGTGGACGGGGGTTTGGGGGTTTTCTCGATCTATGTGAGAAGATCTTCTTCTTAGTAAGAAAACCCGGGGGCCGTCATAACCCCTCGTAGGTCGAGTTTTTTTATTTTAATTAATAATTGTAGGAATTTTTGTTGTAGATCGGTGATAGCAAAAACCCTAAAAATTTTATAGTAGCTTCATTGTATTATTATGTGCTTACTGTAATTTTTGTAGCCCTATAATAGACTACTTAATATGGTAGCTAAATATCCATTAAGGCTAAAGAAATAATGGCATGATATTGGTTTATAAAAGTTAAGCACCTGTAGTGTGAGCTTGAAATCTATTTGGTAGAGATAATGATTAGCTTAGTATCTTAGTCATTAGAGCTAGCTTAGTAGCTTAGCATGTGTATTCTTATTTTAAGAGTTGTTGTCAAAATACTAAGTGTTGCATCATCGTTGCATGCATGTAGAAAACGAGTTGGTAGAGTTCATGACCGCCGAAGAGCAGGAGTACGAGGAGGTGATCGAGGAGTACGAGGAGGAGGTTGTCGTACAGGAGGAAGCCCCATAGCCACCGACGACTGACATAGCTGATAATCTACCTGCCCAAGGCAAGCCTCAGTGCATAACCCTTATTTTAAATAATCATTGTATATGTATGAGATGTGCATTTATGTTATACAAGTTATATTGGAACTACATGCATAAATACTTTTACCTATGAGTCCTACTAGTACATGTCGAGTAGCTGCTATGCTTAGGATCTTCGATAGCGTGAGAAACCTGTCGTTACTCACAATAGGTGATTATTATTATCACTCTCTTAATAAAATGGTGAAAAAGGAAAATGGAGATCGGGCAGGGATATGGTATGGGTATTAGTGGGTGTAATAGGTTGTGTCCCGCGGTCAACGGGGCATGGCTTGGTTACACTGTTTCTCTATCCGTATCGGTTAAGGACCGCCCATTGCTGTGGATGGTAGTTAGGTCACAGACTTATTATCCTGAGCACATATTTACTTATGGGAGCGGGAAGGCTCGTTGCTCTTTTGTCGTGGGTTCCGGCTCTTTGTGGACCGACTGATTGGAGGCGGGGATGGTGGAGGTCTAAGCACCACACTGAGTCTAGGACTCAGGTGTGGGGGCTTGGAGTTCAAGTTTAGATGAGGACCTGGACCCCTTGACAGGAGAGTGGTGGGTTGGTCTTGCTTGTGCCTGGGGTGCAAGCGGGGCATGTGTTTTGGAGTATCCTAGCTGGGATACATTGGTTTATGAATCGCCGTGTGATACGATACGACTTGGCTATGATGTAGCACCGTAGTAAGAACTGGAAGATGAAAGGTGATGAATGGATCTGATTGCTCAACTCTTACTTGATAGTAGAATAGGTGTTTAAATAGAATGGTTAGCTAATGAACTAATCATGACTGCTAATAAAAACATATACATAAGGATTCACC